TTCATTTGGCTCAAATTTGAAGTTGTTCATTTTGCATAATTTGAAAAATCTAAAAATTTACGATATGGCTTAAACGTGAAAAAATTCTTTCGTTAAACATGCAAAAATAATCCGTTGAAAACGCTTAAACATGGCGGTATTGTCAAGCCGGCATTTAAATATATAATCGATTTCCAAATTTCCATCTAAGTGAACATTTTCAATGAACAATTTAAATTGCGAGTTAGGTTAGAAAAAAAGTTTCGTACTGATACACTAGTTGCCTGCTGGTGTAAATATGCCCTTCCAAATCCGAAACTTTTCATTTCTTAGACAATCATCGTGACATACTTTTTAACGGCTTTTTGAAAATCCAAGAACAGTCTAGCCAGATAATTTGATTAAGCAATGTCATAATGCTGTATACTTCAAGCTGGTGCTCAATAAATTTGAGATAGTGGATCGTCTTTGTCATTTTTAAAATCTAAATTATGAGGAAGAAGTATTTTTTTTCTCTAAATTTTCGATTTAAATGAAAGTAGACATATTGACCAGGTGTATGATGTTAACTGCTTTTCTCCCGCTTTGTAGAGGGGACAATTTTTGTTTATCTTTCACTTTGCTGGGAAATCATATTTATTAGCGATTTCATTAAATGGTAATGTAAAATATTGTGAAATAAAGCACCTGAGTTTCTTCAAAAGGAGGTTGCCCATAGAATAGTATCAGGTCCCTTGTCTTTAATAATTTCGAGATCGTCCAGTACTAGTTTTCGTTGAATTATTTTGACACAAATATAAGCAACAGACAAACCAAAACATGTCAAGGAACACAAGGAACAAAAAATTTTGCCTTACAGCTCTCTGCTTTTCAAGAACAATTTATGAGTGACATTTTTTTTTGCTAAAGTTAAAAAAATTGTAGCAAATTAACTACAAGAAAGATAGTAAAAATCATCTCGCAAGAGATCAAATTTAACGTAAACAATTATTAACTTTTTTTCCTCAAGCTAGCGAAACAAGTTAGATACATAACAAGTAAGGACTATAGATTGATTGGAAAAATCCTCCCCGTCCTCGCAAGCTGGAAAAGGAACGCCAGTATAGGGAAAAGAATACATCTTGGCATAACTAAACCAGTTTCAGTTTTTCATATCGCACCTCTACTAGCAAATATGGAACTTGAGCGCCATTTGTAATTACTGTATACTGATTATTCAACATAGGTGAAACAGGGCTTCGCGATACCAAAAAAAACGTAATCATGTAAGCTATACGACAGAAAAACAACCACATGCAATTTTGAAAAGGTCAAAAAATAAACAATCTTCAAAAAATTAATTTGAGGAAAAATGTCCAGCAAAATAACTTTCGGTGACAAGTAAGTCCTCGGAAACATTCATCGAGCAGCAATTAAGACGAAAACACTAAACTCCCGTTGAGCCGAATGCAAAGTATGTCGATGGTTTGGAGCATGCAAGAAAGCGACAGGCGCGGAACCGCAATGCGGAGCAAATACCAGACCACAACCAGGGAAGCACGAGCCCAGCAGTGGGTTTAGCCTAGTCTACACTGCTGCGTCAGCGGCCTCCAATGGAAACGACGGGGGTGTACCCGACCCCAGCGGGAGATTAAACGAAATGAACAGCGAAGACGGAGAAAGATAGACAGGAAAAGGAGGACAACGAATGGCGTGGCATAACTGAAATGTGGACATGCAATATACGAGCCAGAATCCAAACGGCTTTGAAAAAAAGATTGCCATGGATGCTAAGAAGCAACGCCGAAGGGCGAGCGGAAAATGTCATGCTCACGGAGATTAGGGAGCATACCGGAGACATGCTTTGGATCAAGCACGAGACCTCACTGGAGTGAAAGTGTGTAGTAATAAAAGCGGAATTTTTCTGCGAGATGAATGGGCTTGGATACGGAAAGAGCAAGCTAACAGGAGAACCATAGGAAAACAGAGCACAGCGGTAGAAGTGGATAACACAAGATTTATGTCCACCTATCAACCCCAGTGGAACGGAGACTCAGTCGAATTTGAAGACTAGAGAACCAAACTAAATGGCTGCATTAGAACATAGCGGCAAAAGACATCATTCTAGTGATAGAGGGAGACTTTAATTACTCGGTCTCCAATGCAAAAGAACGCGGAGATGATGTTGCAGGGTGGTTTCAGGGTCAGTGATTTACGGGTGAGGTGGTAAAAGACTATAAGTTGGTAACAAGAGAACAGCTTGTGCTGGGCTAGCTTCCTTTTTAAAGAGGAATACATAGGCACATGGAAAAACCCTGCAAACGGGTCTAGGAATGAAATCCATGGTTTCATTGTCAAGCGACAACATCGGAGTCGTTTGGTGAGACGAGTAAGAACAGTCGCTATGAGGTAAACGCTATCAGACCATTGCCTGAAAGGCATGTGACGTAAGCTGAAGATAAAAACCATGACCAATTGTGTGGATAAAAACCATCACTTACAAGTGCGGAGCTAGACAAGCTACGAAGATCAAATATAGTGCAAAAATTTCAAAGAAGAACCGACGAGGACAAAGATAATTAGCTGTCAGGAACTAATGAATGATATGGCTAAAAGAGGACGAATTACATGCAGAAAGAAAGTAAGTGGAAAGCGCTCTAGCAGCTAGGCTGGACTTGCTCAGTGACAAGATAAAGACCTTCCAAACAAGAAATACAGAGCTGACATCTCGAATCAGGGAAGCTAGAGCAGAAAGAAAGATAATCAGGAAAGAGTATAAGAAAGCCAAAGTGAGATAGGACGTAGACTGGTAGCAATAGATAGTATGAGAAGCGAAACGAGCCAAAGAAATTGGCGACATACGGAGCATGTACAGGATCCAGAAAGGAGTGGTAATAATAAACATACAGACGGTTCACACCGAATTCTTTAGCCCCGATGAGTTCAGAAAACATTTCCAGAGCGTGTCTTAACAGGTTAGAAAGTCCGATAGAATGCATAGTGAAAACGGGCAAAGATGACAGGAAACGCAACGACGACCAAGTTCAGAGAGCAAACAGTAAGGTGTAGGAAGCAATCTCGGAGAAGGATTTCTAACCGAACTCGCAAAGATTAAGTACAGCGCCCCCGGGGTTAGAATAATTGCAGCAAAATGCCTGAGCGGAGATGCAAAAATTTAACTGTTTCAATGCAGTTTGAGCCTTCTGAACTCCACAGTGCATGTGAGGCTCAATGAAACCAACGAACGATGGATCATACCATTACGTACAAAACACGCGAGGAATGATCTCAAACTAACCGAGGAGTACACTTGCTGCAAATTGCCAGCAGCAGGCATCTTTGCCACCAGACTGAGAAAATGGGCAGAAAAAAAAGCATAGCAGTTACACGAGAGGTCCGTCTACAGCAGACGCGACAAGGTCCGGCCGAAAAAAACAAGGTCCGGCCGAGAGTCGAACCCCCTGACCTTAAGTTACAAAGGCGACGGCGTTAACTCTAGCCGAAGTGCTAGAAGTGCTACTATAAAACAAACCAAACCGTTTTATCGAAAAAAAAAATTTATAAAAAATTATTAAAAATCAGACTTTATAAAATGACAAACCTACTAAATCAATTTCTAACTCAAAGGAAAACCCATGCTTAGCAAAAAAAGCCGAAAAAACAAATTTCATTTAAAAAAAAACGGGAAACGAAAAACACGAATCTGAAAAAAAAAACATTAAAAAACTATTTGAATAAATAACTAGCACAGGAAACGGAAAGTACCTATTTACTACCTAAAAGGTAGTTTTATTTGAATTTTCAATAAATTTAGCATGTTTAAAGTTTACATTCGTACACATTTGACCATTTTAAGCCTAAATTTATTTGATTTTCAAGAAATTTAGCATGTTTAAAGTTTACATTCGTACACATTTGACCATTCTAAGCCTAAAATTATTTACGGAAAGAAGTCTAGAACCCGATTGCAACACCTTTGTTTCTTTGTTTATAGCAACACCCGTTTATTGAAGGACGGCTAAGATAAATTAACATTACAATGAATGATGCATTTAATGCTGATATATGACTTCATTGATACAATGATACAGTTTGCTGATATATAATAATAATAATAATAATAATAATAACAAAGGATTTAGGAATATAATCCAAGGGTTCGCATAGTAGTAGTAGTAGTAGTAGTAGTAGTAGGGCTTTTGTGCTCGTAGCACAAGGGGTTTCCCCCTTTCAGTTTTTCGTTCTATAGTGAAGTTTTGCTTCTACAGTCATTCATTGTGCAATCGCAAGCAATTCTCCATGTGCACTTGTTCATTTGTTCGTAGTCCTTCTCAAATTTTCTCCAAAATAACCACAATATTCGCTTCTTCAGTCTGCTTGTCATTGCATAAAACCCAGTCATTGCATTGTTCAAAGTTTAGTTTTCAGTTATAAGTGTAAGTTTCTTCACGTCTCTACAGTTGTTGCATTCGCATAAAATGCGCCAAGTGCATGTGTCTGATTCGTTGTATATATGCGTTTTTATAACGCTGGTACGGCCCTATCCAGCTTGTGGACTGACGGAAGGGCCCCTTTTGTAATTTACCTTTCTTGTTTATCGCAAGCTTTAAAAAATTTTGTGGCATCAGAGTTGTTAATTAACAAAAAAAAACAGAAACGAACCAAAAACCAATTCAATTACAGTGAGAACTAAGCCAACAAAAACAAGCTGAAAAAAAGGCCGATAATTATTTCTGACTGAATATTTTGGTTATAAAAGAAATCAGATCATGTCCGGATTTATAACTAGGCTTACAGCGGTCCTAGGCGTAGCCGTAACCTCTAGACCAAGCGTGCCGGTAACCCGAAAAAATTCTATATTCTAATTAGATAACGCTTGCTAATCTCAGCGTTAAAAACGTCTGAACGTGTCTAAAATTCCTCACAAAAAATTGTTAGGAAAAACAAAAACTGACTATCGTGTAGTCTATTGTTTTCCCTATTCTCTTGCAGTGGAAAGAAATTTTACGTGATATTTTTGGGGAAAACTAATTTTTCCTTACAGCAGCATCACAGGAGGCACAAGAATCAGAGCCAGCAAATTGAGAGACTGCAACCAGTGAGCACCTGTAGCGGCCAAGCGCTTTGACGCCACCGCTTTTTCAAGGCAGACAGCCAGACCAATTTTAGCATTCACAATAATAACTATGCCAGATAGCGTTAATGATGAAGCATTTCCTATGAATAAGTACTGTTTAGGTGATATGAGCACGCCATATTTAAGAACATTCTCTAACGCTAGTCTCGTTCCTGCAAGTACAAGTAGCACGATAACCCAATTCATGATCCCAGAGTAATCTTTGAATCCTGAAGTAGATGAAAAATGGGAAACTTTCACAGAATGACAAGCGCAAACTATTTCTTCCCAATTGCATGGAAATTTTTCTGCGCTAAATTTATGTTTCTTTTTCGGGTGATTAACTTTTGATCTTGACGCGGAAGAATAATCATGCCGTTGTTTAACGGTACCGAGTGTACCTAGGTCATCTATTTCGCTAGGTGCAACATCCATTATAGTACCTTAAACTTTTCAATTTTGGTAAGAAGAACAGGAAATAAAGGCGAGAAACAGGAAATCTTGTAGAGCTACACAAAAATTGAAGACTATAAATCTTCCTTGAGAACTGCACACTTACAGAAACAAGACTGCTCGTATCAGGGCGAAGCCCTGAATGTTCCGACTGCCTTTTAAGGTTCATGGAGCAGCAGTAAAAGAATAAAAAATTAAATGAATAAAAATAAAACGAAATTTTTTTTGAAAATCATCCCCCACATAAATCACAAAAAGATAGATTTCGTTCCTTGTAACAAATAAATTATGGCAAATAAGCTTCGTTCAACCAATTTATCAAAATCATCATACGCCACATAAAACACAAAAAGATAGATTTCGTTCCTTGTAACAAATCAATTATGGCAAATAAGCTTCGTTCAACCAATTTGGAACGATTCACAAGACGGATTAAATCTCCGCTTACGCGTCAATAGCGCCAATTATATCGCGCGTTAATTGTCCCAAATTGGCAATCTTTAAACCTTCATAACTTTTTTTAAAAATGATCACAGGTGAAATATCTTTTCAAATTTAAGCTCAAGACAACAATAGCTTTTGAATGATATAAAGAAATTACGTCAAAAACGGCTAGTTAGAAAGTCGAAAATTGTCTGAAGAAAAAAAACCCACCCCGAGCACAAATATTCCGTTACTTTCGTAACGAAAGTCGGAACAACAATTCGAAACAAACAATTGAAAGGATAGAAAGCACGAGCTGATTGAAAGAGTCGTAAAATTGAATGGAGACTATCATGCTTTCGAATAGAGCCTTAACGGTACCGAGTGTACCTAGGTCATCTATTTCGCTAGGTGCAACATCCATTATAGTATTAAATAGTTTCAGGTAAAATGATTTGCGGGGTAGCCGTGGTGACCCCTTTTTCATGGTTGTGATTATTGGAGCGAGCTCATTACATCTGGCACTTGAAGATTGGGCATCAGTAGGAGGAAACGAGGAACTGCAAGAAGACGTCATCCATTACAAGGGAGTAACGTTTCATCCCAAATCGAAATCGAATAAAATCGTACGAAACATCTTGAGAGACGAAATTAACAGAAACGAGTCTGTAATTATCTGGCACGACGTAATAAACAATTCGATTTCAAAACATCCATTCAATCCAAGGACTCCCCTTACTGCCAATCAACTAGTATCAGAAATCGAACCCCTAATCAATTCGCATCCTCGAAATGAAGGCCTTGTCTATTGTCAGAGAGACGGAGCACCCTATATTCTTGAAGATCTAAAGAAACTTCCGATACCAGTTGTTCAAGTTACAACAGACATAATTTCGAATTCGAAACAACAGGACAAAGATCTACTTGAAGGATACAGAGAACTGCATCAGGAAACCGCACTTGAAATCAAAACTTTAGCTATAATACGAAACAACAATAGCAACTTGAGTGATATCATAAAGAAGAAAAAGAAACCGTCAAAAAAACAACGAGAAGCACGAAGGAAACGAGAACAGAAATAAATTGTGAGTTTAAATTTCAATTCGTGACGGGACTGGGCTTAATTGTCCAGGCTTGGATCAAATTTAAATTTCAATTCGTGACGGGACTGGGCTTAATTGTCCAGGCTTGGATCAAATTTAAATTTCAATTCGTGACGGGACTGGGCTTAATTGTCCAGGCTTGGATCAAATTGTAAATAAATTTTCTCTATCCCATTTTCTCCTTCTCTCTGTATCCACCAATATGACTAAAAATTGCAAAACGTGCAAAAAACCCATAAATGCCAGGGACAGATGTTTCAGTTGTGTATCATGCAATGCTCAAATGCATCTTGAGAGCACCTGCACTGGTCTTACTAACACCGCCATCAATGGCATAAAAGACTTGGGTTTGAACGCAATGCTTCTATGCGACACATGTGTAACTAATAACGAAAGAGATAACTTCATAAAGTGTAGGACCATGATGCAAATGAACGAGAAAATTGAAAAAGAGAGTGAGGGAATACAAGCACGTCTTGAAAATATGGAAAAAACGCTGAGGGCATTGGTTGATGAAAAAGTCGAAAACGCTACAAAAACCACATGCGAAAAACTGGAAAAAAGCTATGCAGATGTACTCAGTGTAAAACCTGTTAAAGATGTGAAAGCTCAACCAGGAGCTGGAAAAGAAGTAAAACAAGAAATACATCATAATATCAATAAAAGCTTCCGTATACAGGGGATCAGAGAAGATCCCGAGAAATCAAAAGGCGAAAATTTTGTCCCCACAACCGAAAAAGTACATGAGGTACTAAAAAAGTTAGGAGTTAAACCACAAATTGAAGAAATAAAAAGGCTAGGGAAATTCAGCAAAGAGCGCATCAAGTCAAGAACTTTATTAATAACTCTGTCAACGGAACATGAAGCACGATTGGTGCTGGCAGAGAGCTTCGAAAAAAGAGATGAGCTGCGGGATGAGGAAATTTACCTTCTGCCAGCATTATCGAAAGAAGATGCGAGGAAGGAAAACCTATGCTTAAAAAGACGAAGAGAACTTCTAGACGAAGGAGTCCCAAAGGAGAAAATCAAAATCAGGAATTTCGAGCTGTTCAATGATGGGAAAAAAGAGACGATAGAAGCAGAACAAGCAGATGATGCTTGACTAGGCTTTCTCAACATCCTGCAAATGAATGTAAGAAGTCTCATAAATCTCGAACGACGAATGAAGTTTGCAAATGCTATAGCAACATCAAACTATGACATAATATGTCTCTGCGAGACTTGGTTAAATGAAAACATTGCATCATCTGAACTAATGCTAAATGAATACAGTATTTATAGATCAGAACGACAAACAGCCAAAGATCAAAATTTGCATGGTGGAGTACTAATAGCAGTGAAACAAACACTTTCATCTAAATTATTGCCAAATAAGCAACCTGAATGTTGTTTAACTTGCAGCATCCAAATAAACGATAAGCGAATTATTGTCTGCTGTTTTTACAATCCACCTTCGAGCAGCAAATATCGCTATTGTCTAGGCGATTTCGCACAAATATTAAATGAAATCGAGAAATCAAATCAATCAACTGCAACAATTATTTGCGGAGATGTAAATTTTCCAAATGCAAACTGGATTGACTATAGTAGCAAGGAAAATGAAGAAAACTCAATAATTGAACTAATCGAGCAACATCAGTTCGAGCAGGCAATAGATTTTCCAACTTGTGGAACAAACACCCTAGACATTACATTATTCAAAAATTGTCACATTCATGCGACTCCTGACGAAAATTTCTCAAAAATTTACAATTGCTCCGACCACAAAGCAATCAGCATTCTAATTGAATGTCCTCACCATGAGGTAAAAGTCGCTATTGAAAACTTTCGAAGCTTCGGTAGCGTGGACTATAACGTAATCAAGAAATCAATACTAAGTGAGCCTTTCTCACCAGTATGTCACACAAACATCAACAGAATGTGCGAGGAACTTTACGACTATTTGGAAAATTTGGTAAACCAACATGTGCCTAGAAGAACGAGACGTCGCCAATCACTTCCGCCATGGGTTACGCCAAGTACCTCAAACCTCATGAACAAACTGCGAACACAAACTAGATTATACAAATTGAAACCTACAAGCTACCGCAGAAATCTCATTCTATCTCTAAATAAAATGGTGGAAGAAGCAGTAGAGGAAGATAGAGTAAACTATCAGGAAAATTTGATGTCCACTCCTAACACACATTTAATTTTCAAACACTTTAACAGTCTGAAAAAGTCAGAAACTCTCCCAAAGACTATGATCAAGGACGAAATAGCTGTTACTAAAGCCAAAGAAAAAGTGAACTTTTTGAATGAATATTTTCACTCTGTCTTTTCGCCCAAATCAAGCTTCAACCTCAGTGATATGAAGTGCGAAAACACGATATTGAGTAACTTCAGTATCTCAAAAACATATTTGAACCAAATTATAACAGAGCTGAACATAACAAAATCGCGGGGCCCAGATGGATTCCCACCAATTTTTTTCCAGCGAACGGCCAGAGAAATGACCACAGTTTTGCATTGCGTTTTTAACAACATCAAGAGGGTAAGAAAAATACCAGATAAATGGAAAGTTGCGGCTGTGTCGCCTATTTACAAGAAAGGTGACAAACGACTAATGGAAAACTACCGGCCGGTGTCACTCCTAAATATCATGAGTAAACTCCTGGAAAAATGCATGTATCCAGCGTTGTATGATTATTTCATTAGATTTCTCACAAGAAGTCAGCACGGTTTTGTTAAAAACCGTTCAGTTGTTACAAACATGTTATCTTTCTTGAAAGAAATCTACGAACCTAATGACAAGAACGCTGAAAACCATGTGATCGCATTCTATACCGACTTCTCTAAGGCATTCGACAAAGTCCCACATTATGAACTACTAAAGAAAATGAGCAACATTGGAGTTGGAGGCTGTTTCCTTGAAATAATCGCAGACTATCTCAGCAACAGGAAACAATTTGTTCGTGCCGACAATTTCTCATCAGAAACTTTAGAAATTACAAGTGGCGTACCACAAGGATCGTTGATTGGTCCATTATTTTTCTGTATCTTCATAAATGATCTTCCTGAAGTATTGAAATTTAGTGACCCATTTATCTTTGCAGACGACCTAAAATTACTAGCAGTGAATGTAGACACAAAGGACATCCAGCAGGACCTAAAAAGCGTTGAAAACTGGGTAGACAAAAACAAGATGAGTCTGGCACTGGACAAATGTTTTAAAGTCGAATTTAGAGGAAATCAACACGAATTCATTCTTTGTGAAACAGCAGTGGAAAGCTCGAATGTGATAAAGGATCTAGGAATACATGTGTCCAAACATTTAACATGGACAACCCATATTGACTCAAGAATGTCGAAAGCGAATAAAACGTTCTATTGCATCCGCAGAAACTTAGAATTCAAAGTCAAAATGCGCATAAAACTTGGTCTGTACAAATCCTTAATACTTCCTGTTCTAACGTATGGTCTAATTATTTGCAATATCTCGAGAACTTAGGGAGATTAGAAAGCTTCCAAAAGAAAGTCTTAAAATGGATCACGGGAAACGATTCTGACTATACAGAGCAGCTGAGATTGTTAAACATCCTGCCTCTTGCGTTGTTTCTCCAGCTGAACGAGTTACTGATGATGGCGAAATTCATGCA